TTCGAGTTCGATGCGATGTTCGATGTTGTTCGCCTTGATGAAAAGTGGTTCAACTCTGACAAAGACGTACGGAAAGTTTAACTCACGGAGGACGAGCGGCCGGATCACCGCACCTGCATGAGCAAATATTTCATCCCGAAGGTGATGTTTCTTGCTACCATCGCGCGTCCTAGATATGATGCTGAGCGAGGACGTATGTTTGACGGCAAGATTGGTATGTCACCAGTCGTAAAGTACCTGCTGGTTGAACGGAGCTCCCGCAATCGTGCTGCTAGTACCCTTTGTACGACCTTCGCCACGGTCGACGGAGAGCTGTATCGCGACTATGTCGTCAATCGTATCATTCCCGCAATCAAAGCAGTCTTCCCTACCAGCAGCAAGCGAGTCGTCCTTCAGCACGATAATGCAACTCCACACGGCTCGATTACGACTGAGATCCTTGCCCGCGTGTCTACCGATGGCTGGCAGTTCGTTGTGCGAAACCAACCACCCAACAGTCCTGACCCTCAACGTTCTTGACCTCGGCTTCTTGCGTTCATTCAATTGCTCCGTGGACGACGTTATTGCTGCCACACTCGCAGCATTTCATGAGGTGGATGCTGAGAAGCATCACAGAAGCTTTCTAATGTGTTACTTACCCTACAGGCTGTGATGCGCCTTATTCTTGAGAACAACGGAGGCAACAAATATCGCTTGGCACACTTGCGAAAGAATGCTTTACAGCGTGGCGCAGCCCTGATGGCAAACGTGTCCTGCCCATCGTCGCTCTGGTTTAGTGATCATTTTAACCAATAGCACGCATGAATTTTGTTCTTAGCCAATCAATGAGAAATGCCCCTGGGAATGTGGAAAAAGTGAAATTTCAATTGTCCCTAGTAACTAGAAACAGAGGAAGTACTTTGTACTCATCAGCGACAACACACACTATGCCCGTGGTTAAACGGCCCTCACACGACACCCCGAGGAGTTGTTTGAATATCTCCTGAGCATACGAGAACAGGCGTCAACAACGACTCACATAATCCACAGGATTAAACGGCATCAAGTCGAGAGGCTCTGCCAATATTTCACCGAAGCACCTGGCACGGTCTACCAAGCCATCCCCGTCTTCCTAAACTGTCCTGTTATCGCCATGAATTCTCGCGCCAAAGTTCTGGCCACAGCAAGCAGACCAAGGCAACCTTGATCAAAGTTCGCGGACTTTTTGTGGAGAAATGCCATCGCCTCTACCGTGGCTTTAGCAATGACGCAATCTCCTACCGTGATGTGCTTTCATTACGACAAGATATATTTGGTCTGAGCGTGGAGGCGACGCAATCTCGCCGGGTGATAAGCACTCACTCCTAATGATTGTTGTCTTTACCATGACTGCCGACGTTAATCAAGCTGTCCTTGTTCTTCGTAGTCCACGATACGCCAGGTGGTCGCATTGAATCGCACGTGGTGTCGACGTACCCAGCGTGACATTCCTACGCGATTCAAGCCAAGACGTGGACGGACAATCAAGTGTGAAGGACATGCCACCGTTCGCTGTTGCATTCCGAACTTCAGGATCCCTCGTTGATCTTAATCGAACAGTTCGAGCCCAACAGGTCTAATGAGCCCTACACAATCATTACGGAGGACCTGGACAGTCTCTTAGTTCCCTTACCTCCTGACACAACGTCAACCTGTAGCCCTTGGACGTGGGGCTAGGGATCCTTTCAAACGGTACCTTCGTGACGGTTGCTTGGACGAAGAGATCATCGAACGGTGAGGACGTCTTCGACCCCCAACTGCTGCCAAGAAGCAGCTCGCAATGATCAAGCGAGCGATACTGGCATGGGAGATGGTCAGTGCCGTACTACATTCGCCGCAGCTTTGAGATGGCCCTACCTCGCCAAGAGAATGTTGAAGCAGCCAGTAATTAGATTTATTGACTTCAATTTTTGTCTATAATTTTCTTGTATTTTTGTTTCCAGTTTATGTGATTTCACATTTAAGTAGAAGTTTGACACTGCTCGGGAGCATTAAACCCGGGCGCCCTTCCTTTATCCCATTGATGCAGCCGCATTAGACCTTTGCGCCACTGCGTCAAGCACTCATCATTCTAGTGTTCAGTGTTTGTTCTGGTGGCTTCATTTTTATGCAAGATGGGGCGTCTACCATAGGTCAAAGAACATCATGGAGTATGCCGACGACGTGAATGTTACCCTTTCTTACCACCCTGAAGTGTCCCCTGATTTGAATCCAATAATGAGCCTAAGAATTGTACATGTCTGCCCCCTTTTAAGTAGAAACGACTGTTCATTCGTGGGGTGCAATCAGTGTGTTCTTCGTGCATCCTGCAAAAATCAATACATGCACAACTTCTACTATGTGAGTGGAATACGATGTCGTGGTGGCTGGCCGTATTGAAATCATGGAATCCCAAGCTGCCAAGCCCGCATCTGGACAAGGGAGTAAGGCCAACATCAACGACTAGCAACGAGTTTCCTTTATATACTCCACACGTCCCACTAGGTCGGGGATTTCGTAGCGTCCGCCAGAACTGAGTTTCATGCGCTTATCGTTGCCTTGGTAGGCGAGGGTGTCGTTGGTATGTTCATCCCAAGAGCGTATGGTGCGCCTCGGTATGCCAATTTCCTTGGAGAATTGCAGCTACAGTGGTGGCAATAATGATATGACAGGGAGTGTTTTGAGTGCACTGGGATCATAAATAGATTTAGTTGTACTTGGCAATACATGAAGCAAACCATCTGGGAAGTCGATCATGTTCAGAGTGTTTCAGGCACTGGAATCCGTTGTTACCGCCAATTACACAAAAATATAGAAATTTGCAAAGGAAATAATGATATGACGTGTGCACAGATCTCATGTTAGTACTTAATCTTGCGACCTCTGGCAGCAATAATCAAGTCACAACGCTTTGGTATCCCAGCAGCGAGCTTTTGCAACAGTGAGACATCAATTTCGCTCCATACTTTACGCAAACAAGCAATCAGATCGGCTTTTGTCGAAAACTTGCGTTAACCATAGTCGTAAACCTTGTGGGACATATTACCCCACAGATTCTCGATTAGATTTAGGTCGGGCGACTTGGCAGGCCACTTGATAACGTCAATCAACACCTCAGGCTCCTTGAACCACTGCATTACAGCGCGTGCAGTGTGGATGGACACGTTGTCCTGCTGGAAAAGGAAGTCATTTATGGTCTCAAATGCGCAAACGGCAGCATGTAATTGGAAAGCTTAGATATGTAGCTTTCTGCGTCTTGCTTACCCTCCATAACTGGCAAGCTCAGTCTTGCCGAAGCTGCTAAAACTGTCCCAAATCATTACACCACCACCACAATTTTGCCGTTTCGAGAAATGCTCACGACGCCCACACAAGTCAGCCCAGTAATAGTTGAACCCATCAGGTCCTTCCAGGTTCTACTTCTTTTAATCGGACCATACAATGTCTTGAAGCAGGTCACCCCACTCACGCGCCTCAGTTGCCCATGCTACTCGTCCTTTACGTGCGCCGGGGTCATCATTGGCGCGGCAAGTCACTTCTTGTACTTTAACTTGCCACTCTTGTTGATAAGTTGGCAAACTCGACGACGACCAACCGGCAAAGAAAGTCGTTCCACAAGCTCAACGACCGTAGCCTTGCCCGTACGGGCAGCACGAATGATTCGGTGGTGGAGTGAGCTGATGACTCTTGAAGGTCTTCCAGTAGAGCGCGCAGTTCCGTATGTTGCAGGGCTTCGCAAATGCTGTACATGCATCCCCGAGAGCTGGTATGTCCACAACATTGCAATCTACTGTACATTGTATATGGCCAATGCATATGACGACGCGGTGGCCGCGGTCCATGGCCATCTGCACGATGACAGGTACGATGTTGGCTGCGACGTGGGCTTTCAACTTCGCCCACAAAGTTGAACGATATTATTCGACGTCCAATACGATGCCATAGGTAGAGCACACTTGCCGCATTCTTGCTTTCGTCCACGATTCTGTAGGGGTGTCATCCGAAACCTAGCAAGATTAATATTGCGCGGTAGTTCTTGGGTTATGTACGATCTCCTTCAAACGCATCTTAGGTCAAGAGTATGGAATTGTCGCGGTTGTCAGCCATTGTGGCAGCTATGAGACTGAGCCGACGCCCTCTTTGCCTCGGTTTGGCGTCGGTGGCATCGTCAGGATGGGATTTAGTTGATTTGTCATGTGTGAACAGAAGCTACCCTCCAAATATTGTAGTTTCAATTATCAAAATATGCAAGGCCCCTTCATCGTTGTTGTCCCTCGAAAGACAATTAAGTATCGATTTTAAAGGAACGACATGAGGGCCATTTGGCGGGAAAACGCATTTGTAAATTACTAATGGCGCAGCCAGGCACCAAAACACCTCACAGAAATGCTACAGGAAGACCATCCGTCAAAACGGCCACCGACCTGGTCCACCACAGCATATGCGATTGTACTTTAGCTATGCGAAGCAGCTGCACATCATCAATTGGCGCAAGCAGCACTCAATGGTATCGGCGTTGGACTGCTCAGGGCGTAGCCCGTCGATCAGCACAAAAACGTATAATTTTGTGGGAAAAAAGTCGACCGCATATAACTAAGATGGCAAATAATCCATCAACGTCCACCTGCAAGAATACAAGACCTCTTGGGACGACAACGACACTTTCAAGAGAGCCTGAAGAAAAAGTCGCGCATTGGGTGCAAGAGCTTCGATCCCAAGGCATTATGTCAGCAGGTTTTTGCTGCAATGTAAAGCTCTTGAAGTGGCTAAAGACATTGGACTAAGCCACACTCACTTCAAAGCAAGCCACCATTGGATTACGGGTTTTATCAAACGTTGGAACCTAGCTATACGAGCTAAAATGAGATCCGGGCAAGCTAACCTGGCGCAAGGCGACGCAGCCTTGGAAGAGTTCAGTAAAACGAGTTCGACAACTTATTCAAGATGAGAACATTACCGAGATCTACAATGCTGATCGTACCGGCATCAACTTGAGTACATACCGAAGCAAACTATTGACAAGTGCGGAGCGGAGACCGTTTGGATGCGATGCGCCGGCAACGAGAAAGATCGATTGGCAGCAATGGTGCTGGGCAACACCAAGGGGAAACAAATATTCCTTGTTCTTGATCCTAAAGTCAACAGTGTCAACAATCAAGGCGAAAGAGGTTGAATACCTTACACTGCAAAATGGCTTTGGACCACGGATGTTGTTCAAAATTGAAGAGCTGCATGAATGACAAGCATCCCGCTTGTTTGGCAGTCCTGCGGCATGGTGGAATAGTGAGATTTCCTAACAATTCCTTCACTACCACTTCGGCCATCGCAAAGGCAAAGATGTGAACGCGATCCAACTCTTGTGGGACGACTTACCGGGTCCCGACGGGTGGTCGGCTGGGTTCTTCCAAGTGGCCCCCGAGACTTTTGCGGAGCTGCTGCTGCTGGTGTTCAACTACCAGCTCCGGCACCATGGTCAGCTGCTGCCCCACCAACGCCGAAGTGCCATCACCCTCCTGCACAAGGGGGGTGACCGGGGCATGCCGGGCAACTACCGACCCATCTCGCTCATGCCTGTCGAGGTGAAGGTGCTCTCCCGAGCCCTGGCGTTCCGGCT